TTCATTCTCTGGAGCCCACACAGTGGCCTATTGTTTGCTAGCTCAAAGATCTGCAGGGTCAGTAGACTTGAGGATGCACTTTAGAAGAGAAACTGACAGAGTGCAGAGGGCTGCTATATAAATCTGTAGACATGGAGGAATGCTACATAGGATAGTTCTGTGAGGATTTTAATCTGTCTGGAGGAGGAGAGCAGTATTGCCATACAAAGAGGAATCAGTGTCACAATCACTGAAAATACACTAACATATTGCTACTGTTGAGAGTTTGCCTATGAGAAATGACCGAAGCATGAACACACCCACACTGCCTCACTGACAGACGCATCCTAGCATCCCCTGGTTTTGAAAGCTCTTTGGCAGTAACTGGCATAACCTAGAGTCCCACAGAATTTAGCGAGCTCTTTCCTTTAGCGTCTTCTGCTCTACCCTATTGTCTTTCCTCAAATGAACAATATCACACAACTCTTCATTTGAAGAAGGAAACAAGCTTGACCCTATTTAGAAAAGCCTGACTCAACAGACACCGTAGAGTCCTCATTGCCTATCCATGTGTGTTGTATGAAAGGGGCAAAGACCCTCCAGATGGCAAAAGGTCCGTGTTCAAGTCTTGTCCCTCTCTGTCACTGAGTGCATATTACTAACCCTTTGGCCCTTCCTAGCAAGATTCCTGGTTAGTAACCTCCTGGCACTCAGTTTGGCTCTACAGGAGTGTATCCAGATAAAACTAGAATATTTAAGCTGATGTCTGCTTATCTGATGCACTGTGGTACACAGACAGACTTGAAAACAGCCTTGTGTAGTCTGCTTACCCTGAAGTGAACATTTGGAAGCTCCACCAGGCAGCAGCTTCAGGCCTGGGCCTAGTGAACTCATGACTGTCAGGAGATCCCTCCCTCCGGGACTCCAGACAGCTACTTATGCAGCCTGCTGGTCTACCCTGCCTACAGCAGTCTCAGACCCTGGTAGTGTGTGGTATAATTTTTGCGCCTCACAACTCCCAGGCAGGCACCCTAGGGCATGAAGGACTGACCCGATGAGATATTTGCATGGCTGGCTGAATTCTTTCTCCTATCCGTCATGGAGTGGCCTATGTCCGCAGTATTCACTGTACACAGGCTTTTGCCATCATCGCTAGCAATGGGGAAGGCTTGGGCCTGGGCGCCCTGCCAGCTTAGTAAAACTTTCCATGAGGAAAGCTTTTTGTTCTCTTCTAGAGCAGCTTAAGCTCAGGAAAGAAGGGGAGGGTGAGCAAAAGAAACTCAGCCAGTCAGCAGACATGGCTGGGCTACCTTGTCTACCTGCTTGTTGTTTTAATGACATCTAGTCTCTGGACACCCAGCATCCACTGATGGAGCTGAAAGGCTTGATTGTGGCAGGGGCCATAGGGCAGTCACCATGAGCACGGGGCACAGAAGCAGAGCTAGAGGCAAAGAACTTTCAACGAGTGCTTCAACCACAAAGCTGGAAGGAGGTTGTCTGTGTGGTACCGAAGCAGGTCCAAGGCAGGGTCCCCTACACACAGAGGCTGGAACAAACCCCATATGCTTGCTTCATGGTACTTTAGAAGTTTCCAGATGTATGTGAAGTAGGAGCTTGTGTGCATAAGGGAGACATGTACATTCAACACATGTGACTGAGCAGACTCACCACCAGAACAGAAACATTGTCACACAATCCAGCCCCATGACAGGCAATTTAGGCAAACTTTACAAAACAGCTTATGTGCAGCTTTGGGGCACATTTTTTAAAGTTTGCATTTAAAATAACAAGAGAGTCACAATACTAATACCTTCAAAATGTGGCCTTGAAAAGTTTAAATTAAAAACTTAAGTCTTATGAAGATTTTTGGGACAAAGAAATTATCACACAGGTATAAGTATGGGTCAAATATGTTTGCAACAAAACTCTGAGAGTAGAAATAAAAGCAAAGACCTCTGAAGAGAGGGGGATTTGTTTTCTATCCTTGAGATAGACATTGGAGAGTATGACACTTACAAATTCCAGTACATTTTCAGACCCAATGTGGGGTGCATTACACACTGTTCATACAGGAACTACCCTCCTGATCTCCTGGTGCCAATACTGACCATTTATGTAGAGTACCCCAGGCTTTCAAGGACTGGATATTTTATTTTGGTATTGTCATTTCTATGCTCTGAGCAAACAAAATAAAAACCCAAATAAACAAATGAAAACCAGTATGCACATGAGATACTCTCTTCCAACCTCCTCCAAGACCAGGCAGCTTTAGCATGGCAGCATGTGAGCCATGGGGGCACTGTACCACCCTGTCGGCTTGCAATGGAGTCAGCGGACATAATTAAAGGAGGCCCTTAAGTGCTGAGGATCTGGTTGCATAGGGCATATGAAGGCACTGCTGGCTGGTGAGTTGGCCTTCCTGAACTGCCCACCCTATGCCTCGTAACTTGGAGACCTCCAGGTTACCAGTTTGTTCCCATGGTCTCTCTCATTAGTAACTGCACTTGAGGGAACCAAACAGCACTCTGGTGAGGGCTGTGAGTATTTCCCGCTAGCTAAAGGGTGATTCCAGGAGAAAACAAGAGCATGAACCCTGTCCTACCCCGCCCTGCCCCCATGGCCTGGGTTCCAACCAGTGACTAAAAAGGAACCACCCCCAGCCCTTCTGCTTTCAAATAAAGTGTTTTCCCCAAAGTGCCTCTCCCTGATGAAAACTCTACTTTACACTAAGGACATTTAGGAAGAATGGAGTCTGACCTTCTGGCTTAGAATTTTGGGATAGCTTCCATTCTCTCTCTGTTCCTTCTCTAGGAACAGAGCAAATTCAAACTGAGACCAAGTGGAAAGTCACAGTATTGGTCCATGTGCCTAACACATGACCCCTCCTCCTGGACTCTTTTCCTTTTGGGAGTCCCTATTTTCCAAGTCAGTACCCCCATCATGGAAGACTCTGAAATGCTTCTGGCTCTCTCGGGAGATACAATGAAATTTAACAGAATATAACCTATACCACATGTGGGCAACCCTCATCCTGAGTTTTGCTGTGCTGTTTCCTGGATGCTGTGTCCCCTCCTCCCTAGATGCTCACCTGTTCTTGTTCCATGCCCACAACAAATCCACATCTGATGTTGGCCAGAGTGGCCTTCAGGTGAGTGGGAAACCTGTCTAAGGCTAGCTTCCTTTCTCTGGGTCAGGGGTCACTGCCCAGATGTGGGAGCCATGGGTAGGCCAGTCATGCTGCCTCTGACCAGGTGATGATGCTCCCACAGGACCACACCAGCACTCTCTGAGGCAAAGTAGGTGGGACTCTAGACACAGGTGCCAGTGTCCATCCTGGCCCCAGTGCCTATTTGGGCAGATACCAGGGACACAGGCAGAATCCTCCTGCTAAGGAAGCAGCACTGGGCACCATCACTGTGATCCTAGCCTGCAGTTATGGTCTAAGTAGAGATGTGTAGATGAGGTAGACAAGTGAAACTTCCTTAGAGCAGCAACAGCCCTCAGACATGGATCCAAAGAGAAGACACCCAGGGAGGTCAGGGGCCTCTGAATGAGCACATACAGACTCTGGGAGGAGACAGAAGAAGAGCCTGAGACATAGGACATGGCCACAGATATAACAGAACAGGGTATTGGGTCCTGAGTTGAAGACTTAAATACATTTTTTGAGTGAAAATTTTTCATGTATTCTCTCTCAAAAGCTAAGAATTTGCAGGGAAATGTTCAGCAGGAACAGTTTTAAAAGTGCAGTTTTGAAACCCTGAAACACAAGAACCTTGTTAACCAGGTGACTTGGGGCTGACACTGGGCCTGCTATAGGAAGCTTAGTTAGAATGCTCTCTCGTTCCCAAGCCAGCCCACCCCTGGCCTAAAGTATTGAGAAGATGCAGAGCCCAGAGCACATCATCTTCTTTCAAATGTCCTTTTCAAAGATCCAAAAAGGGCTGCCTAGAAGCTCACAGGCAGAAACATGGAGAAGAATGGTTGAGAGGCTGCACAGTCTCCTCCTCAGAGGTAAGGAACTGAGCAAGTCCTGGTGCTGTCCTGGGTCTCACCCAAGTCCAGGTGTGGCTAGGAGCTAGACCTCCTCCAGGTGTGTGGCTCTGCACCTGGCCCTGGAAACAGCCCACACCTGGGGAGGCCATCTGGCCTTAGAGGGAGCCCTGACTCTCCTCCCACAAACAACCTGAGCAGGCTGGAAAACACCACTGAACCCACTCCCAGTGGGCAGACTGCTGGGCCTCCAGTCACATGGCTGGCCACTGTGGTAGTTACAGGGTCAGGGAGATTCTTATCACATGGTAGGAGCAGCAAGATGTCCAAAAAGAGAGTAACAAACACAAACACATGCCAGACAACGAGGACATGCCTTGTCACTCACCACAGAGAAACTTCAGTGCTCAGAGTCTAGCAACACCACAGGCCACCTGGGCACAGCTGGACACACCACATTCGGGTGTGTCTCTACCCAGAGTGGGATGTACTATCCTGGGAGAAGGTCCCACGCTCTGACAAAGCCACAGTGAAGAGGGCCGCCCTAGCATTCCTCCCATCCACTGGGCTCTTGACATTGCTGTCACACATTTAAACTTTTTTTTTTTTAACATGGCTGCCTAGAGTATAATATCACTACCGTGAACCAGGTCTTCGTTTTGAGATTGTTCCCTAAGGAAGCTTCTAGGTGCGTGAATCACAATGGCTGGGTCACATGCCACACTCCAGGAGGGGCCTTTTCTGTTGGGACTTTCTGAGCTTCACCTGGGCAGTTCTTTGCTCAGCTTTTGACACCAATCTGAGAGTCCCAAGTTTGAGCCAGTACTGCTCAGACAGGGGTCACCAAGACGACGGGAGCAGAACCATTGGCCTGTAGCCTGCTGGCTGGAGACAGTTCTGCCTGGCCAGCATGGGAATGGTCTCCCATCCCAAAGCCAGCCTGAGGTCAGGCAAACCCTCCTTCCTTCCAGAGCTCAATGGGAAGAGCGCCAGGTGGTACATACACCTGCTTGGCTGCGGGCACTTACCATCGTCCAGGTATAACTGGTCCAACTCTTCAGGCTCTCGCTTGATCGCTACAGGAATAGGGGCCAAATTATGATCACTGTTCTCACGCACCTCTGGCAGTGACAGTGGCCCGGCGGCTGGAGACTCATTTCTTTGAACCTTCTGCAGTTGGTGCTGCTGGTGGCCCATGGTGGGAGAGTGGGCTGAGGACTGCAAGCAGGTTGGTTCGTGGGCAGCGGATGGAAGTGGAGAAGAGGGGCTGTTGGGACAGAGCGCTTGTTGGCAACCAAGGGAACAGCTACTGCTCAGATGTGGACTCACCTGCGGCTGCAGCAGGGCTGGCGGGGGCTGCTCCGGTGAGCTGGGCTGCATGGCCATGGGTCTCGGCACTTCCTGCATGGCGGGGGCCTCCGCAGCCGGTGGCTGAAGTCCAAGGTGACCACTATGGCCTGGGCTGGTGAGGCCCTTGGTGTAGGCAGCAGAGGAGAGGTCCTGGAGCTTTGGACTCGTGTTGGGAGATGTGGACATCAGTGTACTCCTCTGTGAGCATGGAGAAAAGCCAGCCACGAGGCAGGAGCTGGGGTCCGGAGGCATAGTGAGCTGTTGGCTATAGTAGGGCCTCGGGAAAGAACTAAGTCCCTGGCTCATTGGTCCACAGGTCAGGGCTGGCTCAAAGTCATCCGTGGGTTCTGTCTTTATAATTGGAACTGTGAGGAGGGAAGAAAAAGTTAAATAAACAAGAGTTGCAGATGGGTAGGCCAGGCTGTGGCTAGGATACCCGTGCAAAACAAACAATGTCCTGACTGAGCCCCTCTGTCTCTGCTGGTTCTCCCACCCAATTAAAAACAGGGTGAGTCACTGGCTGAGAAAGTCACAGCTGGTTCTAATATGCAGAGGACTATTTTCCTTGGAATCTCCCCCAGCACTAACGTGCTATAAAAATCTATTTGCAAACGGCAGTAGGAGCTTTGGGCCTGAGGGCTGGTGGATTTGTAGCAATCAAAGTGAAAACTTCAGCTTGGAGGCATTGCTACAAGGCTGCTACTGATGATTCTGGTAAGTTCTGCTGGTAGGGAAATTGAACAGGCAGCTTTGGGAAGTCAATGAGAATCCAGCCAAAGAGGTCGATGGCCGTCTGCTGTAGGAGAGGAGCCATTAGCCACTGAAGGAGAAGGGCTCTTTCATGTGGGCAGGAGTACAATGTCGCCACACTTCCCTCCTGGCTTCCACACCCAAGCATGGACACTGTAGCCAGTCTGCCCTGGAAGACCAAGCAAGAGCTCCCAGATATCCCTCTTCATCTCTCATCAGAAGGATCACAGAACAGGGAAGAGCCAGAGAGAAGATGTAGTCTCTGTGGCCAGGGCAGATGCCAGGCTTCTGCCAAGTGGCACACTTTCTATAAGAAAGTTGAGAAAAGGATTGTCATGGGCAGGAGAAGAGGAGGCAAGCAGATCTGGGGGTCTACCCTTCCCCTGCTCACTTCCTATGCCAGGTGATCCTCAGTGGCACCATCAATTCTTGGCAGCCTGTGGAGCTGCTACACAATAGCATGCATGATGAACGGTCACAGAATTCTCTAACCACGTCTCACCTCCTCACACATCATGCATGGATAGGTTTGGCAGTAGGTCAGCCACGTGAAGGACTGCCCAACCATGGAGGCCTCTTCCACAGGCGCACGCACTCCACGCACACATGCCACAAAGGCAGTCCCAGCCTCCCCATGAATAAATAAAAGAGTATCTGCATTTTGAAGGAAAATCTTTATCCATGGTATGAGCCAGTAGGAATGTGCATCTGTTCTTCATTAGGGCCAGGCCTCTGCACCACTAGTTGCTGTGAGCCATGAACGTGGAACTCTTCTGAAACCTGGCTCCAATGGGAGCTCTCACACAGCCCCAACTGCAGGCCTGGAGACTGCATCAGAGCTAGGCTAGGGATAAGTCATGTCTTGCTGGCCCAGACGACTTCTCCTCGACCTCTCAGTGGTGGGTCTGCATGGTTCTCAAGTGCCACCCGCTTGGCCTTCCAGGTCTACAGGAGACAGTGAAGCCGTTGGCTGTTATAGCTATTTCTGCATGTAACTTCCCTCAACCTGTTTTCATGCATTCTAATCTCCATATTTCTCCTGGCTTGAATGGGTGAGGCAGGCTCTGGAGAAGCTGAGTCCCAGGAGGGGCTGACATTTAGACATTCCAGCAACAGAGAGGATGGCAAGGGTCCATGCTCCCTTAGACTCTCAGCCTGAGACTCTCGTATTCAGCTCAGAAGTCATAACTGGGTCTTCCAGGCCAATGCTCTGCATGCAAGTCCAGGTGTCTCTAGGTCTGACCACAGGATGATTTCCACAGTGGCTCACTGGGAGAATGTGACTGAGCAGGTGAACCAAGGACAATAGCTGAGAGAGAGCTGATCTTCAGATGGTGCTCCATCAACCTTCTAGGAAAGGCTATGAATCCTCTGCCTTTGACAGCCTGATGTGGGCCTACCACTTCCCTAAAAGCCAGGTAGCCTTGTGTTGGAAATATTCCAGAGATTCTACATACGTAATGGTGCCAGAGTGACTGGTCATGAGCCAGAGGTCTGGTGGACACACATGGGACTGGGAGGAGGTCTGTGTGCTACCAGCATTTCTTTTGAGTCAGACACCACAGTGGTGGGATGCTGGTGCCTGGCAGTGGGCTTCACGGACCCTGGAGGAAAGCTCTATGGGTTGCCTCCTTACAAGGGCTATGAAGGTCTGCCATCAGAAGGTCTTTTTGTACAGTGGCTCGACTGACCTACCAGTCACCCTGGGTGACAAGGGAGGGAGGCACCTCGGCTAGGGGGAGTGGGCCAAGTCACATAGGAGGGCCAGGCCCACTTGGATGGGGGTGCCTCAGGCTCCACTGTGCTCACAGGCAGGTGCTTGGTGGTGATCAATGTGAGGTCTGATTAAAGTCTTTCAATTATCCTTCCCAAATATACTTTAGAAGCTAAGACCTCAGTTCCAACAGTGGCCATCAGCTGCCTCCAGAGCTGCTGAGGTCAAAGGAGCCATGAGGAATAGGGGTCTCAATGGTGAACACTCCTCATACGCAGGGCTTCCTAGAAAAGCCTCCCCTCAGGGGACTAGTCAGTCAGTCTGTCCTCTTGCCTAGGCCATGGGAGTCATAGGTGCAGGCAGGTGATGGGCTCCTTTCTATGCAGGTCTCAGGAGTCTTGTATGGGATGCCAAGGGACTCTGTGAAGAATGAGATGGAAGTCCTAGAATTTAACAAAAACAGCAGGGAAACCCATCCATTTGATATTAAAAAGTAGACTATGTGAAATCAGCTGTGGGCCTCACCCTTCCTAAGGACTACCTCTCCTAGAGCTGCTGCGGATCAGGAAGCCCCTAGCCGTCTGGGTCTTACAGCTCTCAGGGCAATGTATTATCCAGGCATCAGCTTGGCTGCAAGCATGAACCCTTCCAGACGTCTCTGTGGGGGTAGGCTGTGCTTCAGGAGCGGCCCCCACCTAGCATCAGTCCAGCTGGCTCAAGCATGTTATAAATCCAGAATTGGCAAGCACCAGGTACGGGATAGAAGTGAGAGAGGCACCTAGGGGCAGACCTGGGTCCAGCCAGTTTCTGTGAGCACAGGCCTGGCCCGAGGTAGGCACAGATGTTACTGAGAATGTACCAGACCGGCAAGGGGGACTCTGGAGTACTACATCACTCTGTTCAGAGCTGACTTCTACACATGAAGGTTTAATTCTAAATGAGACTGGTAATTTTCAGAGTTCATAATCTTAAAAGAATATATGACTGGAAGACTGAATTAATTCCTGCCAGGGCTGCAGTGTCCCTTGTGCTGGGTCCCCAGCCAGGTCCCAAGGCCAACCCAATTCTCCTATAAAGCAGTCCATGAGCTCTATAAAACCTGGTCCCAACTGCCCAGCATGACATGAAAGGCACAGTCCCAAACACAGCTGTAATTTACCTGCAACACAGGGACAGGGATAGTAAACATGGTCTAGACTTGGGTCAGCGATCCAGAGGCCAGGGGAGGCCAGGTAAGGAGTGGGAATCAGTGGGGAACCTTGGAGATTCTGTTGTTATGACCTATCTGAAATACTTCAGCCCTGCACTGGCTCCACATCTCTCTGATATCTCAGATTCTTTCTGGAATTCTTTTTTTTTAATTTTTATTTATTATTTTTATTTTATATGTATGTGTGTATTGACTGCATGTAGGTAAGTGCACCTGTGTTGTACCAATGCCCGAGGAGGTCAGAAGAGGCTGTTGGATCCCCTGGGACTGGAGTTACAGACAGTTGTTAGCTGCCATGTGGGTGCTGGGATTTGAACCCGGGTCTTCTGCAAGAATGAGTGTTCTTAACCTCTGAGCCATCTCTCTAGCCCCTCTTCCTGGAATTCTTAAGGTCACTTGGGCTTGCAGAACTCAGGAGGTTCTACAAGTCCTCAGGGAACATGGGTCCCAGTAGTGCCAGTGTCCTGGGCTTCTAGCCCTGGGGGTGTATAGTGGACCAGCATATGGATTTGAGCTGGGCTCCAGGCAGGCAGAAGGATATGTGGACTGCCACCTTACTACCACCCCTTACCCTGACTGCTTATCTCTAACCACCTGGGGCCAGGACAGCAGCTCCACTGAAGAACTGTCACACTGCCACCTGGGAGGCTTCAGCCTGTGCAGCTGGATGAATGAGGGCATTGGAGTCAATGCTGGGGGAAGTGCCCGTCCAATGATGCTGTTTTGTATCTGGCTAGGTCTCTCAGCCTCAGAGCCAGAACCCAACCCGATGTTCGGGGGCCAGTGTCACACAGGTCAGTATAAAGGGAAGGCAGGCACAGTGTATGTCATGCTTATCTATCCCTAATGGAGCCAGTTGGGTCATACACTACCCAAAGATGGGGGCCACTGATGATTGGACACTCATTCAGCATAGCTGAGGACTGTTTGGGGATAGAGCGGCCTACCCTGCTGGCAGAGTGAGCCAAGAATTATGTTTTGCTGGCCCAGCTCTAACTGCCTCCCCAACTGAGAACCAGGGAAGTGTAAGAAAACGTTGCCTACCCACCCCCCACAGTGTCCACAGAAGCTCAGGAGCTATACATCTCCAGACTGCCTGTGTCTGCATTTCGTATATGGAGTAAAGACCATTGGAGCCTTGTAGGATGATGTCTCCTGTTTCCTATTAGTGAGGAAATAGAAAGAATGTGTCCTGCACAGGAGCCCCAGGCGCTGGTCTGTCTCCTGTGCTGGAGGGAGGCAGAAGTGTGACGCAATGTCTCCTTTCTAGGCTGGGGTGGGAGGCAGGTAAGGGGATCTGGCACAACATAGCTCATTGCAATGCTATGTAATGGCACACGGAAAACATCACATTACCCAAGTGGTGAGTTTATAATCTGTGTTTATTAAGGAAAGCAAGTGCATGAAGGATTAATGCCAATCTTTCAGGCCAGCTGTCATGTACAAAGCATGCTCTCATGGAGAAGGTGGGCTGCTGGCACCTGCTGCGACTGGCCCCTCACACCCGGCACAATACAATGCTGAGTCTGTGTGGCCCTGAGAGGTGTGCGTCACTGTGGGCACCTGATACTGTGTACACCTGAAAGCCACACCGTCCACTCCAGTTCTGCAGCTTTGGGTATTGCTGCCCCTTGCAGGACTCATAAGGACCCTTACATGACCACTTCCTCACTGAGACTGAGGACAGCTTC